ATCATCCGGACCACAGTGATATCATGTCAGATTATCATCCGGACCACGAGGCTTCACCGTCTCTGATCAGACGGATCAGAACCGGACTTTATTTTGAAAAGGTTCATTGACAGACCGTCTCGGCTCTCGGCTCCGTCCGTCGTCTTCTCGTTAAAAACGAACTGATTGATCTGAACTTCTGTCGGAGTTGAACCGTCGGTGGAAGGATATGCAGAGCGGCCATCTTTACTGCAGCGGGACGCAGTGACACGGACGTTTGGCTTCGTCAGAACGTCCCAATCAGAACTCCATCCCAAAAAACACAAACTGACCTTTGACCTCCAGAGGCCCGGGGACGAACCAACCGCCAATCAAACGTCCGACATCGTTCAGTGTCACCCGATGATGACGTCACTTCATGAAACCGCTGAACTTTCTGCACCGTCAACCTGAAGGCCCATGGGCCGGATACGGACAGTTTCTGTTTTTTATTGGCCTGCGAGGTCAAACAGCTGGAGCTGATCTGATTAAATATTTATTAATAACTAATAAAGCAAAGGATGATCTATAGAAATATTCTGACATGATCAGTTTGACACATCTGGAAAAAAACAACAATTTATATTTTATTTCAATTTAACTCTGAACTGGGCCGAGTCTCTGTCCTGACCCGTCTAAAACAATTCATCGTTAGAATTGATTGAAGTGGTTTAAATAAAACTGTCGGTCTCAGAGTAAAGTTCAGAAACACCTTCACTGTCTAAGGAATAAATGTTGGATTAAATTAGCAGATTTTATTTACGTTAAAACAAGAAAACAGTTTATTTAACAATACGTCAAAGAGCTCCAGAGCTAAAGTTTCTGCAGCGCAGGTTTTTACTCCTTAAACAAACAGCTTTATCAATCTGATCACACAGACTGCTTCTCATTCAAACGATTCATCAGATTACATCGGATTACATCGGATTACATCAGATTACATCAGATTAAAACCTGCTCGAGTGCCTCCACAGAGCCCCAGATCTCTGATAGTTCCATGTCTGGATGTTAAACCTCGCAGCTTCGTTTAGCTTCAAATAAACTTAAAGTTTGTCCTTCAAAATAAAAGCCCGTACCTGGACTCTGGCCTCGGTGAGGTTGACCCGGCGGGCCAGGTCCTCTCTGACGAAGGCGTCGGGGTAGTGCGTCCTCTCGAAGACCCGCTCCAGAGCCTGGAGCTGGCTGCTGTTGAAGGTGGTCCTGTTGCGGCGCTGCTTCCTCTTCTTCTTCTCCTCCGTGTTCATCTGCTCGTCTGGAAGGACAGGAAGTCGTGAGGAACAAGGAGTCACTGCGAACTGGAACGTCTCCGCCTTCAGAGGGAGTTCACGGGTTCAAAGATTAAATCTGCTGACGCGCCTAAAACCCAGCAGGATTATTCTTAATCCTTCAACTGTTATCAGGTAGCTGCTGGTCTGACACTACGTCAAAATAAATATTTCAGTAATAACGATTAGCACAGAACAAAATATAGCTCCCAGCTGCTAACAGGATTATTTTAAAGCAGCAGTACTGGGTTTGGACTAACATTTTCCCAGCATGCATTGCACACTGACACTGGCAGAGCAGTGAAATAATTTACAGTCGACAAAAAACGATCGTTCAAAGAACAGACGTAAAATAAAGTTTGTCAAAACCAGAAAGTTCTGAGATGGAGATCAGGAGCGTGCACGTCTACGGTCCCCGTGGAACGCTCCGTGCACGTCTACGGT